GCTATATGACTCACTTTCAAGGCATCACACTCAATAATATTGCTAACTAAATGTTCTCTAAATAAAACATACTAAGTATTTTATTTGTAACAGTCGATATAAAAGTAAACAAGAATAAACAGCAATAATTTCGAAAAACAATTTTAATTAGCTACATAATACAAAACTCTCGAGAAACAACAAAAATACTTGCTCAAGAAAATTAACACCACTGATTTTCCTTGCACGCAAAAGTTATTTCAATAAGCTACTAACTTGGATTTCTTAATCAATTTCGTATAATGCATATTACCGTGCTCTGCGAACATTAGACCGCTAACTTCAATGGAACGCCATAGAACTAAAAACTGATAGACGCACCGTAAACGAACAAAGTATTTAGCAATTAATATAAGTCATAAAAATACCAAGGAAAAGCCAAGATAAAATAAAAGACTAAAGAGACTTTCCATAAAGAAAAAGCGCAGACAATAATGCCGTTATATATAAGGCATATATACAAGAATAAAAGTGATGCGCAAAGTAACGGTAATCGGAAAAAGTAATATAATGCAAAACCACAAAATCCTCAACACAAAAGCCGTAAAATGTGACAACGAGTCGAAGGAAATCATAGAGGCACAAGTTGCTCAAAGAACGATCCGAAAATATGTGCTCAAGTACGTTGCTGAGCGATCCGAACATGGAGCGGGAGTTGAATGTGGAAAATTCACTAATATAACAACAATAATAATTGTCACTATAACAACATACCAGCACTTGAGAGGTCATTAAAAATGAAACGAGAGCGAAACAAAAAGTAAGCAAGACGCCACATCAGAAGCAACAATCTTAAGTTTTGAATCTCGAGTTCTAAGCATTCGCAACTCGAGGGGCAACTTTACTGCCTGGTATGGCATGGCTGGTGTCATACTTGTACTTACATGACTACTTACAGTACACTTGTACACGCTTGAAAGTTGAGACTAAAGTAGCTCGCCAATGTAATCAAGTGTGCACGCGCAAAAACGCAAAACGGAAGGAACACAAACACGCGCACAAATACACACACACATACATGCATAAATGAATCGACTTGCGATATTTACTTAAAAGCAAAATTAAAGTTTTCATCATACAAACAAGTGTTAGTTAGTAGTAAAGCAGCTAAATAACGGTGCATATTGAACGAGATGTGTGAGGCATATCACTTCTACCGACATTAAAAGTGTTGTTTTATTGATATTGCTAACGTTGTTAAAATTGCTGTTTTTGATTTAAGTTTTTGTTATTGCATTTTAGTTTTGTTCATCGCCTTTCGGAAAGTATGTTGTCAAATTGCTGAGTAATTACGATTATGAAGACATTGAATGTGACATATTTTTGCTCATAATTTCGTATATACCAGAAAGGTAGGCTCGACTTGGAAGGGGTTACATTTACATTTTGGTCTCAGTATTAGAAACTTTTTTATTTAAGAAATTATTTTCACGAAATTCGGCATGAGTTATTATCCAACGCTATAATCTTCGAATATATTGTTCACAACAGACTAATACAGCATTTTGTTGCCATTTAAAGTCACCCAACAAATCAAGCTAAAGATCTTTTAAAAACGGTTAGTTCTAGTTGCATTAAATAAGAAATCCTGTAAAGTATTCAATATATTAGACTTGTCAAATTAAACTGGTTCTAGAAATTGGTGTTAAAAGGTTTTCTTTGTTAACAAGACTCTTAAAATTGAATATTTATTCAACAGTTCTTATAATGCAAGTTAATGAAAGCTCTAAGAGACTATAGCTTCACTGACATATCACACGACTTTCGTAGTTTCAAATCGAAAGCAAGCTTTCATCCGCAGCCTTATTGTGATTCCACGATTTTACCCATTATTTCCATTTTCTCGCAATAGTAGAGCGAAAATTAAACTTCCTGCGAAAATCACGATGCCAAGCAAGAGTGGTTAATTAAAACGAAAAGATTCTGCAGCAAGAATTTCCATGAAAATCGAAAATTGCAGCCAGTGGAAATTGTAACAAAACCATGCAGAAATAAAATCGCCAAAAAAAGAAAACTAAGCACTCAATTAAGGAGGATAGCGAAATGGTTTGTCGGTTGAAAAATTTGCACCTAACCAGTCCACCTTAACAGCTGCAGCAGAAGTGATTATGAAACCACAAGTGGTCCTTCCTTCGTCAATTCTTACTCGTATTTAATATAACTGTAACTAGCAGAGTGAACTCCTTTTCAAGCATTCGCAGCTGAGTTGCATTGCCAGCGTGATTGCATATGGTTTCCAACTATATTATGCTGATATATAATATATTTTAGAATATAATATAGGTTTATATGTACCTATGTGTGGTCCTGTTAGAAATTGTCTCTCAATTATCCAGCATTTGAGCATTTAATTGGGTTTTACTTTTGTCTTGTTTTGGTCATGCGAGTGGATCTTGTTTTAGTTATTTAAGTTGAAATTTACAAAAAAAAGTAAGTAAATAAATAAAACTTTGATTTGTTTACAACCTTGGAGTTAGATCAGTTTTTTTTTATGTTTTACCAGTAAACTGTGGTTTGTTTGAGCTTAATGGGTATTTTATAAAAAGTTCCTCCATTCTTTGAACTTGATTAACCCAAAAACTCTCGAGTATAATTTTGGTTTTTCCTTTAGCAATATATAGAAACGAGTAAAGTAGTTTGATTAATCTAACGGTTGCTCAGAATACCCAAAGCATCACTACAAATAACCGCTGTCTCAAGTGCTTAAATGATATTTGTCCGGGCATCAGCACCGTGACCAAACTTAACACCTAAATAAATTAATAGATTTTTTGGTTTTCCGTACCAGTGATAACTTGGGTCCAAATTAGATGGTTTGATTAATGAGACCATTTCATTGTCACGCCCACAAAATGGGGTTATTTCAAAAATCGTTTAGTGATATATGTTATATATATATATATATATATATATTGAGTCGCCAAATAAGTAACGAAACTCACATTGGGATTTAAAGCTTCCTTAAAAGGTAGAAGGACTATCTATCTATCCTAGTCCAGACGATAAGAACTCGCACGCTTAAATGTGAATCAGCTCAAAAAATGTTCAATGGTCAATCTCAGCAACTTTTAGACCGATATAAAAAAAATTTTCATTGTTCATACACAAATTCTTAAGGCATCACTTTCTTTAGATGAATTTTTTTTAACCGAAACATGCCAGATTTAGGCAACATTCGGCGAATTGTGACAAGATAAATGGGAAAGGTGAGAAATTGAGCTGATAGGGTAGTCTTCATTCCAAAAATCTGTTCTGAAACTAAATTATTTAAAATTCGCAAACCACTAAAGTGTATGCCTAACAACACACCATTATATTATTAGCTTAAATTTATATTTAATAATATTTGTCAGTTTTTATTCAAGTAGAAATCTTTAAAAAGCTTAATATATTTAGTAACAATTGTAACAGTTACTTTCTGGCATAGAAGCAACTTGTCAGGAATTTCGCAGACTAAGTTAACTTAGTTAGCATTCCAACTGTTATTTCACTCCTTAAGAAAAATATCAGAGAAAAATCGCAACAAACTTTTTTTCGCGCTCTCTTTTTTCCATGCTAATTTCATCGACTGTTTTCCACAGCTGTCCTTCAAATATCCCCACCCAATGGACAAAAGAATAATTTCCAATTTTATTCACAGCTAACAGATTGAAGTGTGACATTATTAGCGAAAGCGTGACATTGCAAATGAGAGTACTAAAAACTAGCAAAATAAGTATAGAGAGATAAAAATTGTGAAAGCAATAAACATATTGTGTCCTGGCGATAACGAAAGGCAGCACTGCCGTCGTAAAAACACTACAGCATTCGTTAGGGTCAGACTCTTCTGTCTCTTGTAACTTCTTCTAGTCCTATCATCACCCGCTTTGCTTGCAACACTGCAAGGACTTTACGCAGATTTGTCACTTTTTATCAATGTGAATTTTCTCATTGGTTGTTACAGTTATTTGGTGTTGTTGTTGTTTCAGCTGCTGTTATCGTAAATATGCCGTTTAGCTTGTTTCTGGGAAAGCGTGAATTAAAGTTTCTAAACTTCATTTCATTAAGATAATGGCGACAATAGCAAATACCCTACAGTTTGTCAATATTGAAGCAAAGTGGCATCTTCACAGCTCTTGACGTTGCAGCGACTAAATTAATTTGCGTAGTTGCCAATTTACCTCATCAAAAAGTCCGTTTTTACTCTCTTAATTTTGTTAGCGTTTATTCTGTCGCCATCTTCTCTTTAAGAGTGGATGGATGCAGTATAGAAGGTCATTCGTTTCTGAGAAAGTAGAATTTTAACTACAAAACTTATTTAATTAACAACTTATCGGAGATTAAGTTTTGGAGGTATAATTAGTTGAGTAGTCGTTAAATATTCACACCACCACTACGCAGGACTACTTTAGTTCGATTCCAACTTCTGGTTAGTATCGCAAGTGTTGTTAAACAGCGATTGACACCAATAACTCTCAGCGTATTTTATTCATAAAAGCAGTACTCGTAAAATACCTTCGTCATTCGGCGCGATTTAAAACTTGAGGATCTCTCCATATGTGGGTTAAAAAGATGGTTCGTATAAAATTTGAATTAGTATGACAAATTTTTGACAAAAACTTGGTGCCAATTTGAGACTTATTTTGACATAAGAATGGAAAACTACGGTCGTGAAAATACCCACTAGGTGGGCTCGATTCGAGTTATGACCAAATCTCATAATAAGGCTAAATATTGTGCTTTTATGCGTTGAAAATGGTAAAACTTAGCTCTCTCTGTGGTTTCACAAACTATCATCAAATTGATTATCGATAAAGTTTAAAGGCGAAGTGATTATTGAAATGCTGTATCTCAGACGTAACATAAGCATACAAGTATACTAACATTCTTTTGATAATATTTGAATACCAGAGATTTCCGAATTTAATATTAAAAAAGTGTGTCATGAGATTTGGTTCAAAAAATTATGAGTTTAGAATTTTGTTGATTTATAATGGAAGCAAAATTTCCAAATGACTATAAATTAAGATTTCAAATCAATCAAATTCCAACTGAAACTGTTCTACTCGGCCGTATAGAATTTATGAAATGATTTAGTGCAAGAAATGTTGAGATGTCAGTATGAATTTTGGCCATAAAAGCCAGAACTAAATGATATATAACCACAGATTTTACTGTTATTAGGTCTTTACTATTGGTATCAGAATGTTTTTGGTAAGAGCCTTGATCGAAACATTCTGCGCAGAATATTCAAAAAAACTAACGAATCTCTCAAAATATGGTAACTTAAAGAAAAGATATTTAAATATAATGAGCTTAATCCTACTAAAAGATCCACTATGAACACAGTTTCTTATATACATATATACATGACAAGCCCAGAATGTAAGATGTTTACCAAGTTTTTCAGTACAATGATAAAGATGAAGATAAGTATATTAATGGTGTTTTTAGAAATTAAATAGTTCCAGATATTTTTTTATCGAAAGTGCGATGCATATAGTAAAGGACAATATAATAGGGTGGGTCAAAAAACGATTGTTTTTTTGCTTGGTACTCTAAAAACCTGGAAATTAAAATGCTTAGCTAAACAATACCTACAAACCAAGTTCATAGAACCAATATGAAAGGGATCAAAATTAGACGGTATTGCAACCAATGCACATTTAAACGAATTTCGCAAAGGAACTGAATTATTATGAACATTATCAACAACTTCAAACAAACTTAAATATGTAGTATTTATTACATTTCTTGTTCTACTCAATTGCATATTTTCTCTATTTCTTTGTCGCTGTACTCTTCCTGTAAGCGATTTACTGTAAGGCATGATGAAATAGATGTATGTGGGCATCGACGACACTACACTTCCAAAAAAAAAATATAATTCATTAAATGAATAACAGGTTAGCAATAAATATCGCCTACTAAACATAGAATTATTTCCGCAACTTTGTTTACAAATTGAAAGTAAAGAAAAACATAAACTCTGTTGATGTCGCTTCAACCAACTAATTAACCTTGGAAAAAAATGGTAAAAAATTTAATTATCCAACAATGCCCTTGAAATTTATCTAAACATTTCTAACTCTCCAAAATAAAATGAACGTTGTCAATTAAATGTTCGTGAAAAGTTGCAACAAACCAACTGCTTGCAAAGAAAACGAGAAAAAATTCTATTCACCAACATAAAACGAATGATATCAAAGGTTATTTCCACTTAAATGTACTCTTTTTCACAAACAATTCTTGAAATTTAATGTGCATTAAAATGTAATTGTAACAGAATTTAATATTATAACCCGCAAAGTCCAAACACATTCAACTGTGGAAAAAAATCGCAACCACAAAACAAGTGTAAACGATACACAATGATCCGATTTATGCATGTGTGTTAAGTATGTTAAGTGTGACGCGCAATTGAGAAATAACATCAACCAATTAAAATATCCTACCTACTATAATATGTTTTGAACTTCCGGTTTACTTTAATCAAATCGGTTGGCAATTTACCCAAATCCCACGGTGGTTTTCAATAATCTAATATAATGTTCACACCAACGTTAAAATTTGCCATTTGTATTGGTTATTTTAATAAAATAAGCTGGAAATGTTTGTCCAAGCTTGCCTTAGTTTAATAATCAAACCAAGTCAAGTGAATCCAGACAAATCACAGTTCCAACTTACCCAATATAGTTAATTTAAATCGTCTGTTTGACTTTGGCTTTTTGGCTAATATAATATATTCCTTATTCTAATGAAAATAACCGGAAATGTTTTCTTGGTTACACTGCGTTTAGGGTTATATAAAAATGATAACGGTCCGGTCCCTGCTCTAGACCCCATATACATACCTACATAGTTTTAAGGTTTTTCCCCTCCATTTATTCTATATCCAATATATCGCTAATATATATAATATTTTCATGTTTTCTTAGAAAAATGTGGTTGTGTACTAAAAATTCATTAAATCGGTCTATTTGTTCCCCTACCCCTGGTAATATAACACAAATACTAAACGCAATAGTATTTGTAAATTTCCATGAACTTGGCTGCCTACAACTTTTCAATGAACTCAGGAAAAAGTAACACTTTTCCAAGCAATTGAACTTTCTTTTTCGGTAGTCTCCATAATTTTCTCGCATTTTCAGGCATACATTTTATATTTCCACAGAAAACCCCCACACTCATCAGCTTAAGTGGTTCAACACCTATACGTCTGAGTGAATGGGATTTTGTTTGCCACCTATTTGCCAAATATTTAATTGTATGTGTATGTGTGTGTGAGAGAGGTCTGTGCATATATTAATTCATTCGTTTGTAACGGCCCTTTGCCGAGCTATGAGCTTATTTACCACCTCCGAACGGCTTTGCTTGTTAATAGGCCACAAAGCTGAATCATTACAAAACCGCACATCATCCGCAGGCATAGAACAGCTAGGTAATGTGCTGGGCACAACAACCATACTGCAGACCATTTGTTTAGACCACAATCATTGTGTCACTGCAATACCTACAATTACCCGCTACGCAACAGATAACCATGGTAAGTTGGATAGACAAAGCTTTATCTACACGCATTAGGGTGGGCGAGAAAACCAAATGATCTAAGAGTGCATAGTCAGAAGAATGAGTCAGAAGAATGGACATTCAATAGAATTCAATATATTATATTTATGTTTTCCACACGCCCTATATATCTCTTCGAGACCTATGGAATATGGACCTATGATAAAAATTGAAACATTGTAGTATATTCAACGAAAAATGCTATAATATTGTTTTTTTTCAATAAGCTGCAACTCAAAATTCAAAGCCAAATATTGCTATTTAGGAGGCCAACTTCGAAAAACGAAAATATAATTTTTTTTTTATGACTCAGTACATCGAAAGAAATTGGTTTTTTCTAATGTTTTGAAGAAAGATCGATTTTTCAGTTCAATGTTTCTAGTCTATAAGGTCGAACTATACAATAGCTTTTATGAACAACATAAACTCTCATTATCGAAATGAGATAGAAAATTAAGCAATCAGTGATTCTAATGATTTACACATATGCTCTCATATTGAACTCAACCCGTTCAATTATTATTATTACTATCACATGTAAAGTTTTGTACAAGAAAGCAGAACTCAGAAACATCGCGCTGGAAAATGGCGAATCGAAAATAACTAGTACAAATTGCAGCTTCTTTACCATTTGTCATTTACTCACATTACAAAAAATGAACTTACCCTAATGTTGTCATGAATATCGTGAGTAACAATATCTTGTTGTTTGCGAGAAAGCTCGTTCTCAACAGTTCTGCTGGCACTTGGTGAGATATTAAAACTGAATTAACACTCGGCCTGCTGTGGCACATTGCCTTCATTAATACAAATTACGCATAGAGCATCTGTAGATCAGCATTGCTGGCTATAATCCCTTCCAGAACTTTTGACAGCGAAGACTCTGAAGAGTGACTTTTTTTGAGTCCTGAAGGAAATAAAAAAATAATTTTGTTTTCAAAAAGTTAAGTTTAAAAGTTAAGTGTAGTTTTCTCATACGTAATTCATATAACCTCGCATATTTATGAATAAACTTTTCATATTTGTTATTACTAATTGCTATTGACTCTCTTTTTTTTCGAAGCTTACACAAAGCTCGTAACTAGACATATCTGTAAAGTAATAGAAAGTTGATTGTCAGTGCTAATTAATCATGCCTGTTTCGGTGCTTATATTAGTTTAGCAACTTCGTACAGTAAAACTAAGCAATCGATAAACCATTAGGAATCCACTGGTAATGGCTTTATAGGTTTGGATATAAAAACACACACTTTCAATATGTCAACAGTAATACTTGATGAGGTTGGCGTAGCAGACTCGATTCGGATATTCTTTCTGAATATAAATTCAGATCTATTATTCGTATATTTTTTTTAAGGTCTAAGTAGGAAAACATACGGTGAGTTTTTTGTTTTTTTGAACTAAACTGGTTTTCGTTACCATAAATAGCTTTTCAACGTATATCTTTCGATTTGCGAAACGATTTATTTTGATAAACGTCCCAGCATTCCCTATTCGGAATTACAATATTAAATATTTTAAAATATTTACATACATACTTAAGCTAAAACTTTTTAGCTTTACTTGTGTCACGTGTATTCTTCGTGCATTGATAAAATTTAGTTGGCAGTGACTCCGCGATGAGGCGACTCAGCGAAAACTCTGCATCTTCAGCAGACGAGGTAAAGCACTTCCCGAAATCGAAATTAGCAATAACAGCAGCAGGACATGAAAAATATATTCAACTTAGCTGAGTTGTGTAAATTTATTAAATTGCTGCTGTCATGCGTTACCACACATATTGCACGTTTTCATGTGACTAGCCGCAATCACGTCTTCATTCACTCGCATATCACAAATATCACAGAGTAGGGCAATCGTAATAAGGACTGAAATTTGTAAGCACCCAGTGGTAAGAATTTGAGTGGTGATGTAAGAGAGGAGTGATTTAAAAATTTAAAAAAAATGTATACAGTTCGTCAAATGATGTGAGGAATTGAGTTTATTGGCAACGTTCTTTTTTGGAAACGATTTGAACATTCACAAAAAAAAAATCGAATCATTTCAGAATTCACTATGGAGGCGTTCCATATACTGCGAGCGTGCTAAAACTCCGCGAACACACAATATGAAAACTAGTCTTTTACTATTATCTCAACAATTCCATTTCAAACTGGGACAACAACAACATAATGGTGGTAATATATATGAAGCGAGAGCTTCGACAAAATCGCAGATAACATTTGTGGCTGACGGGATGTAGCAGTACATACTTGTAGTACTAAATTAACGGTAGTTAGCATGACTTGGCGGAGGCTGAGCTGTTGGGCGTGTTTCTCGAAAATGTAGACTGCTACTGAAATATTAATTTGCAATGCTTACTTGCTAGCATAACATAACTAAATTCGGTTATACATTTGGATATACATACATGCGTAGACGTGTAAGCTTACTTATTTGAATTAATTCGGAATAACCATATATAAATGGCTTAACGAAAGTCCCTCATTGCGACGAAAAAAAGATAGAGACTAGAAGTTGAGGCAGAGTTCGTAGACTTTCGAAATGATTTTTTGAAGCAACCAAACTAGGTCGTTTCTTTAATATACTTTATAAAGTACGAGTCCTTATTATGCCATTTATATTCAGCAATTACTATCTTAACTTAACGACGACACTGTAATATAGTTTAAGGTAATTTAAATGAAAGCTTTAATAACTCACAAGTAGTAAAATTAATTTTCCGAATTCAGGGGTATAAGCTGGTGTGTTGCCATCTTGAAAACGTTTTTTTACAAAAAATAATCTCGTAGCCAATCTTTACTGCAATTCGGTTTGAAGCAGTTTTTACCAGTGGATCATTAATTTGACTCATTCACACTTCGCTTAAACAGCAACAATTAGTTTGAAATGATTTAACGATTGTTCAAAGCCAAGGTACTTATCGAACCATCCTCACAGATTTGCTCCTTTGATAAAGTCTGAAAAAAGAACACTCTAGTTTATTAGTTATAATACTCATAGATGAAAATAATTAACTACTGATGATTGGCCAAGCATGCTTATAGAAATTGGCAAATGGAAGTTCTCAGAAGTTTGCTCTGACTACTTTTTATGAAAGCCTCTTTTTTGGGATGCAAACAAAGTTATCTGCACTGCAGAATGCGTTTATAGATTTTCTGGGTATATTTTAGATACTGAGATGCACTCGAGTAGGTATACTACTGTTCGGGATAGTAGTCGATTCGTTGTTGAACCAGTTTAACCGCAATTACTATTCAATTAGCTCTTCTAAGTTTCATATCTAGTTCGTGAATACTCAACGTCAGTATAAATTTAGTTTCGAAGTAATTTTGGTTCACTGTGGTCCTCGAAATAAATTTTGATATTAACATAAATTGACATTAATTATATTTGCTCAGATATTTAGTTTAAAGGGTAAAAAGTAGTGACCAAATATTTGAACATACACTTCAATATATTATATTTAATTATTGTTTTCAACATATAATGTAAGTCCACACGACTTCTATATGCATACTTTAAAATTAAACTTCACATTTGAGCTTATATATATTTAAACCCAAAACCATTTCAACAATTCTACATATGCAGAATATGTCCTTTTGTTCGCTGAACAGAGCTAGAAGTTTGTTCACATATACATTCATTTAGTTCACTAAAAGGGCCGAGTGTGCTCAGCCACAAGTTTCCGACACTTCAAGGAATGACACTTCGAAACTAACAAGCATAATACACATATTAGCTGCTCTTTCAGTGGCACGCATATGCGTAATGCTTGTGAGTGTGTCGCCAAGTTGGACATAAACTGAATATGCTCTCAGGTATGCACTTGACTCAGCAAGCATTTACTAAAGTCTTTTAAAGCTCAAGAGAATGTCAGCTGGAAATGTTGAGGGCGTTAACTCTTGTAAGTTATATTATTAGCTTACGAAATTAATATAAATATTTGTATGGTGTACTTGACGGTATTTACTTCTGACACTAACAAATATTTTTGATTCAGTGGTTTTGAGATATTTTTCTATTATACTTTTCTAAGTAATCCCGTGTTCTCTTCATGTCTTCATGCCAAAGCATCAGATATGTTATACAATAAAACAACAAGGAGTTTACAAACGTCGTATCATCAGAACTCGAGGATTTTTATAGGGTGGAGGATATGCGGATTTTGGGTCTTTCGAAACTTCAGTTAAAAAATCGGAGTTCAAAAAAGGACAGTTATTTTTAACAGAACGATAGTAATGAAAGGTCTAAGGAAGTAAATGAGAAAAATTAGTACCATTCCCATGTTATAGGCGTGGGAGTAAAAAATTCTTAAAAAATATGTGATTGATATTTGTGGTTACCATATTTTAGTTATATAATTCAAATACACATATATATTGTACATCCAAACATATTTATATGCAAATTCGCATTCGTTTGTGTAGGGAAGTGTTTGCTTTCCCAAGTGCCATTTGTATCACCTGAGTGTGGCTGACTTGTAATTAAAGGGCATATGAATTCTAAATCAATCAAGTTACTGACACATGCTTATACAGGGGTGTGCATATGAATGGAAACGGTATTTATCAACTTTTGTAACCATGACAAAAAAAGGGCTTTCTTTGCTCAGTATTTTATAGATTGCTTTCTTTTATCAAAGTTCAAATACTCAAGTAAGATTGGAATAACTTTGGGTGGAGAAAGAAATTAGAAGTATTTATTGGGATAATTCAGAATATTTGTTATATGTATAGCTAACCATTAGCTAAAAATTTGAGCTTAAAATCAAGCAAAAACTTTTACATTTTCGTTACTACTATGTACTATGTTATTAAAATTCCATTTATTCTATATCAAAAATTGATAAAAGTGGTTTAAGAATTTTATATTTAATTCATAAATCTAATGCATTGCTTTTTGACTATAAAATCTTAAAAAAAAATAAAGAAAGTTAGATTTCAGTTCATTTATTCGTCTATACCGATTTCCGTCTTTCTGATTAATTATATAATTTGATATTTTAAGAATACTAAGGAAGCATGCCCGAAATGTAATTAATTATTAAAATTGGCTGTGATCAGTCCTCAATTTCGGTTATCCCAAAAATAATGAACACAGTGATTTCTATGAGTTTATTGTTCAGTATTAATGTAAACTAACTTTTCGGTTATATTTTGTATCCTTTGTATATCGTCGATTCTTAACTTTATACCTCCACTTTTGGGTTACCTTCTTTATTTTATATAATATGTATCATTTGTTTTAGGAAGCTCTTTTGGCTTGAAAAGCCAGCTTGACATGATGATATTGAACGCAACTGTGCACAACAAATCTGTACTCTGTCACCCTATATACAAGTATATTATGAAATTATATTTATTATGCATGTATTCATATGTATGAGTATAAGTTTGTATGAATATTTGTATGTATTTTGAGGTAAGTTTGTATGTATTCGAAAGTTGTGAAAGCCTATAGACACATGTTGGATTATCATTAAAATTAAAATTTCATTCGAGTTTCCACAGAAAGGAGGTGTGGCAGCCAAAGTGTTGAGACGGGATATGCTAATTTCATATGAAAAGCCATATAGCTTTAGCACTGAGCTAAATTACTTGTGTTTGCAACAATACTTGCACAATTGTAATTTAATTGATGTCACTTAAGCGCTGGCAATTTGAATAAAAACGTGACCAAAACGAGCTAAAGCGGCAGGATCAACTTTGCATGCTTGCAGTCCTTATGAATATGAAAGAATGTATGAGTACACTATAGTTCGTTTTATAGGCGCGTGTTAACATGTTGAAGTCATTATGAAACCATTACCATCCGCCCGCTCTCAAATAAAAATGTTTGTTCGTGTAGCTCTGTGCTTGCCTGAACGATCTTATCGTTAGTATAAAAATACAAATTTTCTGCTACTAACGTTCTTATTCCTTAAATTCAAAGACATGACATAATGTGAAACCACATGAAATTACAGGTTTTCAAAGTCACTAAAAATTTAGAAACTTCAACGCAATACACGGTCTAAGTGGGTTTGCCTGGCGTGCAGTTTAACACTTCTCAAAACAGCGACAGTTGACATTTCCTTTTCGTAAATTTGCACTGCATGAAAATTCGACGCCATAATTTCAAGCAGGCATAACTTTCTATATCAGAAAATGGAAATCGCTACATACATTTACATATAATATTATTTCGCATTTTACGTTTATTGCCGAGGGGCGGTAGCAAGTCAACAGTACATTTCCGCATTCAATGGTGTTCGCTGCAGATGCAGTTAGATTTTGGTACATGTATATTGTACGTGTCCCCCCACAGTGCTATGAAGCAGTAACAAATATTAACGATATCTTAATTTTTATTCGATCGTGAATATGCAGTAAGGTAGCCCTTAAATATTCGAAGAAATTCTTGAATAAGAATTCGTAAATCTATACTCATTTTAGTCAAAGGCATAATGTTCAAATTCTGAAGTAACTGGAGATGGTTTTAGGTTAATATTTTTTGATAAAAATGCATGAGTAAATTTAAAGAGCACTCTAATAAAACATAAATATTCCATTTTTTGCATGATAAACGAAACAATTCCAACCAACTCATTCGCAATATCCATTACTGAGCTTAACAAAATTTACCGATTCATTATAATTAGTAGAAAAACAACGCTTGGTCAACTCTCACTCTTGAGTTGTGAAGTGTTGCCCATTCTGGGAAAAGAACACGCAACTTTGACAGCCCGTGCATAGGAGAGCAATGAAAACGCTATTAAATTTTCTTTTGTAACCAAATCATCTTCAGTGATGAAGTGCCTTTCTAGTTTAACAGTTAAGGTACTGCCTAATGGTTACAGATAATTTAGACCACTACAGACAAATAACGCGCAATTTTTGGTATCCCATTACAATATCCCACCTTCTAAATGCTAAATGGTTAGAACATTTTAACGCAGGGAATCGATGAGCTTGGTAGTATGATTATCCACAACTGGGTCTGAAAATTTCATTTTTTCTTGTTTTTGAAAATAGCATTATTCTGACTATTTTAGTATGGTACACGTTTTAATTATAATCAGAAACTATGGGACTTCTAGTGGTAACCTTCTCATCCGTCACTTTAATTGTCGTATAAAAATGAGACTCACTTGGTCTGTTTTGTTTGATAAAGCCATTGCCTAACTTTTGTTCATGTCTGTTTCATGTTCCATGTCACGCGGTCGACATGTCCACAACACACCAAAACCAAACACAACAAAAGAAAATGTGTGAAGATTAGACACGCACTCACCTGGCGACCAGTCCTTGTCTGCTCGATGTCCCATTTTTCAATTTGCTCTTTCTTTGTTTATTCTTATCTTTCGGAATTGTTCCATGTACCGACCGTGTCTCTCCGCTTTCATCTGTGTGTTTATGTAGACGTTTATTGAATATTGTGTTCTTCAATGCTTTATTCACATCCTTGATATACAGCCTAGTCTCAACACCCTAAAAAAATCAACTAGTTCATTTCTCTTGCTATGTAATTGCAGTGAATACCGTTATATTGTTATGCGCTTATTGCATTTGTCTTTTACTCTCTGTCCAGCGCTCAGTTGCAGTTGTAATTGTATCGCGAGAAAAGGGGTTAAGTCGCTTAACATCTCAACCTTTTAGCTTACTGACTCTGGTACAACTAACCGCTGACCTGATAATCGGTTGCTCTTTGAATTGATTTTCTTTCACTCTGTGGTCAATGGCAGACGGTCTTCGTCTCACTGACCTCTTATATGTTCAATTGAATAATTGAATTAAAGAAAGTATATTGAGAGCAAACAATATCGTATACTTTTCGTGCTCTTTGATCCGACGGTGTTCATTATAAAATACTTGATACTTCATTATAAATTACTTGAATACGAACAACTACGTCTCGAAATTGCAAAAATCATAAAAACCAAGAAGCCTTAAAACCCCATAAATATCTTTATTATTCTACCTTATAGTGAGAAGTATATACATTTTATATTTGTAAAGTTTTTCGATTTAGGTGTTTTTATGTTAAAGCTCAAGATACAAAAAATATACTAACAATCCCGACTGATAACACACTGAACCGTCGCTAACAAGATCTTCATATTTAAAGAGCGTTGTATGAATCATTGTTTTGTTCATTTGAAGCGCTACTGAAGCATTGAGTTTTTCTTGTTAATACTCGTATATATAATATATATCTCTCTATTATATATAAAAGGGCGTCCCGGAGCGCAGCGGAGGGCGCCTAGTATATATATATATATGCATATGTTACATATAATTATATTCGTCTAGCACACGAATAATGCCTATTGACATATAAACTAGAAGTTTAAAAGCAAATCCATTCTGAATGTCTGAATGCCGGATCGTTCTGAGCACATGAGGCACCGGCAGGATGCAAAAAAGCAACGTGTTTTTACATAACGTTTAACTTTACCTATTGCAAGCAATGACACGTATATCGTGGGAGTCATAAATTAGCTAGTCTCACTCTGTATTAGAGACTTCCACTCGCATTAAACGTAAGTTGGTTGGATTGACGGAAATAGAAAGCTCACTTGGTCATCGTTGAAATATGCAAAGTATGGAATATACTTGTATGGAGGATTGAACCGACTACTGAAAAGTGCTCAAAAATCGTTTGCTTTTGCCTATATACAGTGCTCTACAAAAATAAACGTACGAACTGAAATGCAAAAATAACTCCCACAAGATTTTGAATTTTTTTATACTGATGAAATACGATTAAACAAAATAGTTTTAACAAAAAATAGGTGGTTATTTCGTTTTTATTTATTTTTATAATTCTTAATTAACTAAATGAATTATACTTTTGCAAAAGTAGAACAGAGAGTGTGACATTTTCTACAAAAATTACAAAAAAATGTATATATTTGTATAATTTAATATTTTTTAAGGAAGTTTGTAAGCCGAAGTGCTGACTTAACTAATATTATATGCTATATAAGTATCTATAGGTAAATATGTTAGCACATATTGATTGCAGGTCGAGAATATCGACCTTGCTACTCTTCTGAAGCATACGAACTCATATATTTTATACTTTTTGTAACTACAGAATACACATACGTATGCACACTAGGGTGAGTTAAAACAACGAATATTTTTTTTCGGTTGAAGAAAGCCTCTCCAAATATTAGCTCTCAATTCTAACGGGAAGGTCTCCGCCTTACAATTATCTTTTGTTTTTTTCTTATCATCAGTTATTCATAATGTCTCTTGACTACTACTTGAAAAAATATCTAGTTTATAGATTTTTCAGTCAACATATAAAATAAAAAATAAAAAAATTAAAGTAACAGACCATTTTTGTAGATACAAAACTATGAGATTTGCAATTTAAAATTATATTTTTTTCATTGAGTTATAAAATTCAAAAGCAAAAAAAAAGTTTGCCTCAAAATAGTCAAACTTAACCGTTCATATCTTTTAAATGGTTACGTTCCAGAAGAAATCATGATAGACCATTTTGTTGAGTCATTCAATTTCCTAAAAAAACCATATACGAAATATTTTCTCATGTAGTTGGAAGAGAGATATGAATTTTTTTATCTTATAATAAGCCAAAAATAGATAACTGTAAAGGGTAGAACCTTCCCGATACAATTAAGAGCTCATACTTGGAGAGAATTTCTTCGTGTTGTCTAAGAACTTATATTTCGGAGTACCAAGCGAAAAACACAGCATTCATTTTTTTTGACCCACCCTAATATGGTACACACTTATATGTTGTATATTCATTATAGGATTGAATCCACTTGTAATAGATACCACATAAGTGTATGGACACTTATGCATACTACATATAAGTATGCACTCATACAGGTAAGAAGCGGAAATAAATTTTCAAAATAGCGTAGTAAAAATAAAACTTTGCTTTTACTGTCATTTCACAGAGAAACTATCGAACCGATTTTATCTGCATATAATTGATATAGGCATATTCTATGAAAGCAACTACATATCCGCTGTGGAATAGATATAGACGTACATATGTACGTACATATGTAGTAAAAATTAATAGTTCAAATCTTTGATGAGTACGTATAAAGTTATGTGTATTTTTAGTATAGATCGGGATTAAGGAGTATGACATTCTGCTAATAAGATAATGGTGATGTAAAAGTTATCTTTTGTAAAAATAATATAATTTGTGGAAATTTTATTAATAATACTAATACTTTTATCACTTTGACTCTACAAAAGCTCAATTTAACCAAATATCTTACTTTAATAGAAATCACCAAAACAGTAACAATAACATACTACATATTGTCTCACTTGAAGCTTCTTTTATTCAAAAAGTTCTGCAAAATAATAAACTCGTTTAAGCCGATAAAAAATAATATATAATATATAAATATTTATTATAAAATTGCATTAAAGGTAGGCAAAAGAAAAGAAACCACAATAGGATAAAATCCGAAATTTAGTTTTAAGATATTTATAAAAAATTAAGAAATTATTTTATAATACAAGCTTTCCGTACAGCCTTACATTTTCACGACAATCACAATCAAAATATCGTTAAAGTATGTATATCTATAGAGGCATTAAACCGTCATTTGCCACAGTACAAACAATGCTAAACCAATGCGAATACAAATGTGAAGCAACAGATAGAGTCTTAATACAACCAACAACAAAACAGATGGAGACACAACAAGTAAGTACACCGATTGATGGTGCACATGACACAAATGAAAGCAGTCATTGGAATGAAATCTTTCACCACAGGCAATAATACCGTTATAGAGTTCGCCATAAATACTACGGATCTATCAACTCGGCTAAAAGCGTGCACCACACTGACTGCAAGAACAACTTTCGTACAGATAAAATGCCATGGTTACTTTATGTGATTCTTAAGTAAGAGTTCCTTGTTGATGTGTCCGTTACGTTGTCATCGTTGGCAGGTGGTTTTATGTGGCGTTCGTGTCTGTGCGGTGCTGACATGTCAGGGCAATTAACTGTATTAACTACCGATTTGTGTCAGTCGCTGCCAATCGGGATTTTCTTTTGTGCATTCGTGAGTTCATGTTGTCCATAAGTTGTATTTAAAAGCGGCGCAACTACGCGGGATTTCGGATTGAGAGCAGAAGGATGTAAATCATTGAGTAAATAAATTTTTTGATCCGATTATATTTTTTGCTTTCACATTAGAATAAAGATGGAATTTTCACTACTGGAAATCGCTTTATGATAAACTCCTGCCGAAAACTTAGATAATATAAGTTTAAGCCAAAAGACAGGCATTCCCTACGTAAATGGAGAAGCGTCTTCATATTATTCAAAGTTTCAGTGCCCTCATCCGGTTAAATGCGGCTGGGAAGGTAAGGTCCGAGCCCGACCATTTGTGGTAACCTATAATTGGTAACTGCACTTAGTTATTTCGCATTTACGCACTGTAATATGAAGTGAAATCTCCTAACTATCTAGTTGGATGATAATATTTACATCAATTTTTAAGATATATTCATTACCTAGTGAATCAAGCCGATTTTGCAAACTTTAATTTGAGTTTTGTTATGTACCCAAGCATTGAACAAGTTATTGAACTTCAAGTTTTTTATAAAACTGCTTTACTGGAGTGGCAGTTTTCAATTCGGCCCCTCTGTAGTAGCAAGGCTCTTCAAAAAATATTATATATGTACATTTTAACTCAAGTCAGCGCTAGAATGGGTACACGGATGGACTAACGAACAGGCAACCAAAAATCAATTCACTTCGTCATCCCCAGCAAATTCGAAATACCTACATTACTCTGTACTCTTTCTCCTAGGTTTTGGTGTTACAATCAAGCGCGAAACCTGTAAAAATGTAGCCAGAGTACAAACACACTATAATAACCACCCCTAATAACGCCTCTTGACATATCTATTAATTTTCTTGAACTTTGTCTAGAGAATATTTTTAAAGCGCTAACTGAAATTCTTAAAATCGATGTATCTTTTGGAGCATATTCTCCTTAAATATTCGTAAAAAAAAGTTACTCAGGAAAATTTTCCATCTAACTTACTTATGTGTTAAGCAACTGGCAAACTTTTGCAGATAAAAACACAACTGCTAAATCACTATAATTTATATTCATCCAAATTTCAGTCGGACCTCGCATTTTGAATTGCTTTCGTGTGTGTTTGCTTCGAATGAGTAATTCAATGGCCTTCGGCACTTTCATATACTTATTGCTACTCATAAGGACCCTTTGAGGACCTATTTCGCACAAAAGGAAAATTATATGCACATTTATTTGCTTTTGGTGCCAACAATGATTTTCACTGAGAATTTCACTCGATTTTTCATGTTCACAAAAGCACACATACAACAGCTTCTTGTGTTATTGCCAGACTTCAAATTTGTTGGCTGTTCAATTATTCAGCGACTCGCGCAGTTTATTAGCGTTTTACAGAATGTACTAGCCCATATATATGAGCATAAGCATATGCCAATATTTTTTACGGCATATACATATTTATTTCTAATAACATATGTTCATACACATATGTAAAATTCCAGTGGATTGTGTGATGTGTGATAAATCTGAAAAAAGTTATATTTACTTGAAAAATATATAAAAATGAAGAGGTTAAATTCTTAAAATTGATAGCAAGTGGGTTTTCAAATCCTCATAGGTGTCAATATTTATTGCATATATTTAATAATTGAGTGTCAAATAAATTACCAACTCATAAAAACGTACTTTAATGTCCATTCTGTCAGCGCAGTTAAGTGTGAAGGACGTCCGATATCGTACCACCTGTTAGACTATTGCTAATGAATTTCCCTATGCTGGTTTCTCACTGATAAGTCATGGTAGATTTTTCAGAGTCAAATGATCAAATTCAAATCATATGATGACAGCATTTGATTTTTAAGCGTGTGTTTGTTCATCGATTGTAAAAAAATATATTAATAATAGTACTAAATTTGCTCTTTGAATGATTAATATGTACAAGTATATACCACTTGAAACCGCATAATTGATTTCATTACTTAGATCTTCTCACATTCCCCCTTCCATACGCGACCACGTCTAACTTTCTACGAAAATATACTACACGTCAGTAAAATTCTCTTGCGATAGGTGATAAGTACTTATGGTCATGGTATGTTATAATTCATAAATTATATTTATCGATGTCCTAATGCAAAAGATTATCTTTTTAAATATTACAGAAGTCATGTTAAAAACTAATCATTTTGTTGTTACACATTGAAATCAACATACTTTGCTTGTGCGCGTGTGTCATCAATATTTATAATAGCAACGCAACGCAAGCAATAGACAACGGTGATGAGCTTCGGTGAGCAAAGTGACTTAATTACTGTGATCAAAAAACAAACACGCCATCTGTCTCATAAACTGGCAAGTGATTTGCATGCGTGGAAGAGATTGAAAAGCAACACAACCAACTAGAAGGTTGCACTCCAATGAATTACTTGCTGGTCACGTGGATTTAGTGATTAAAACCATTAGCAGCGATAAGTATGCTTTTTACACGCACCTCAGCAAACCAAATCACATACATACATACATTAGCACATATACGCGCATAATTAAATACGAATATTCGTATGTTGGTATAATGTTCTGTATTCGCTACACACGCAAGAATATTTCTATAAAGACTTATGTTAACAACTGTCGATAGTATTTAATTAGATTTCGCTTGATTTTCTAACAACGATCAGCAAAACCAATACGCCTTCACAGTTGAGCAACTCATATTTCTAGGAAAACGAGTGCGCATTTTAGGCCACTAGGGGTCAACAGTGTTAAATAGATTCACAGATTTTGTTTGTGGTTAAAACTATAAATAGTATAATAAACAATAGTTAAGCAATAAAATTGCTAAGATTAGGTTATTATCTTAGAGCTGATAGTAGCAAAAATGACAATGTCATAACACAAACTTCGTATATATTATATTATATACAGAGAAAAAACTGTGGATAACAGGAGAAGATAAGAAAAATACCTGCAATCAAATTAACATGTGTAGAAAGAAAGAAGATAGACTTCATTTATAAGCTAGCTTAATGCTGGTTCCCCTGTTGGATAACTTTCTCCTTTTCGGATAGAAATATTTTGAATTTAAGATAGGCACCAAGAAGGACAAATTTCACATCTCCATACATTAATAATACGCCACGGCAAAAAATTATCTTAGTAATCAAATTGTTGGCCAATGTAAGCGAATTTGGTTTACCTTAGGCCAAGTAAATAATACAAATTTAAATTAACGTATTTCCGGATACGAAATGTTTGATAGAATCAGTAATATATATGTATATAGACGGCTTTCTAGTGCTCCTCAGTACTACTTCAATTTACTTTTAACTCAATCATCAATAAAGGCATAAAAATAAAATATAGCACAAGTGGGTTTCTTGGTGCGAATTCCTCTGCAAATAGTTTAAATCCATGCGTACTTTACTAAGGCCTTCATCCGTACTTTACCAGCGCCTCCAAATACAAAATGTGAACATATCCAGCCTTCCTGTGTCTTACATATTGATCATATTTACATTACACTTAATACATCGTTCTATATGTCAGAGATGTTAACGAAATCCAGTGAGGATAGCATTCTAGCGATTTACAAAAAAGAATACTTAATTTTCTGATAGACCACGTCTGTACCAAAAATGTATTAAATCTCTCTATATCATTTTTTATATATCATATAATGAACATCTTGGTAGACTCCTCGACTGCTTTTATCTTGGTTAGTTAACGAGATGTCTCAATAAACTAAGAGATGTTTAATATGGATACATAACTAATCCAGTACTAACGAGATAAATAAGCTGATTTCTCTAAGTAGATTGAGTTAAATTTAAAACTGATATTGTGGAAACCAATGCTGTATACGATGACTTTTCACCTTCGATGGCAACCGTCGAAAATTTATTTAACAAATTGAACTAATGTTCGGTTGTGCCCCAACGTAAGTCTTGGCTATTTATTTTTTGCTTTCATTTTAAAACTTCAATAAAGAAACAACATTAGTTTTGACAAATAACTTACTGACAGTATGATTAAAAATTTATAGCGAATTATTGGTGCATCCAAAGTATAAATTTCTTCTGATTTTATTTGGAACACAAATATCAATATTGTTTTTACTGTCTGCTTTTGCCTTAAAAATGTACATAGTAATCAAGCTTCATTCCCAATATTAAGATTTATGGTCAATAAGCCGTTATAATTACAGAGAACCTTTAAATCAGTATTCGCCGTAGCTGTTGCTCGGTTTAATTGATATTAATTATGCAAAGTTGAAAAGTTTATACGTATGTATATAATGTGTAAATATTTCATATTGTAAACAGTTGCAATGCTGCTTGTGTTAATGTGTGCGTATCGCAACATTCAGTCAGTCGAGCGAAATTTGATACTAGTTAACCACAGAGCTATATACATACATATATGAAATACACAGAATTGCATTCATTTACAAAATATGCAATCGCATGCAAATATATATTTATGAATTTAGGTATATACAATACATATGTGAGAAAGCAAAACGATTTCAAATGAGTTTTATTTATCATATTTCTGATTCATATCATCAGATTATTTATTGGCTTTTAGTATATTTGAATCTCAGCATTGGCATTATTTTATGACATATGTTTAAATTCCATAATTTAATTAGAGCTCCGTAGGCGATGTGTTTTTAAGTTCTACAAATTTGGTTTTAAGGAAAATTTCTGCTTCAGTTTAAAATGATCAGCAATTCATAATTATACTTTAGTTTTATTGGTTTCAAATTAAGTTGAAACCAACAATATATGTATGACAATCAGACAAGAAAACTGAAGATAAGTCTCTCCAGGT